AGATATTTAAGAGTAGGTTAGATAAATGTCTATCAGGGATGGTCTAGTCAGTATTTGGTCCTGCCATACGGGCAGGGGACTGGATTCGATGACCTCTCGAGGTCCCTTCCAGTCCTAGAATCTATGAATCTATGATTTCCTTCATCATGGGTACATCCCACATACAGATCAATGTAAATGCCACTGCTTTTTTGGCTTCTGAAATAGAGATTGAAGACTGGCTATTTTTTATGGCTTTCTTTCCTTGAATGCACTAGGTGTGTTACAGGCGGAATGGTCATAACGAGATGGACGAACCCATGTTCACCCAGCCGTTGATGTATAATCAGATCCGGAAGCAGAAACCTGTGCTGCAAAAATACGCCGAGATGTTAATTTCAGAGGGGGTGGTAAACCAGCCAGAGTACGAGGTACTGTCACCCAGTGCTCTAAAAGAAAGGTGCAGTCAGTGATCAGTCATAACCGCTTAAATCTAGTTGGCAAATAACAATGTTGAATGGGGGGAAATGCAAATTAATATAATGCAAGAAATACATGAAGGTTACCAGTGTTGCCATAGTTGCATAGCATGACTGCGCCCCTCCCCGCTGACTCAGCAGTGTAGTGTAGCGTTGCCTTGCCTTGCCCTAGGGGTCTGGGTAGGGGAGGACTAAAGGGGTGCCTAAAGATCTGCTGATGTGTTTGAAAGGTAGGACTCAGAGTTAGACATCCAAGGGGCCTCAACACTTGTTGCTAGCATTCCTAGCAAGGTTCTCCTGACTAAAGAAGCTAAAGCTGTTTCTGAGAGCAGCACAAGCCCATCCATGCTGCTGGTTAGAACCTGGCTCTTGGGCAAAAAATCCCTCTCTGCACTGGTCCTGGAAACACACGGACTCCATTTAAACCCAGTTGTAGCTGGTACAGTTATAGTCCCAGTGTGAATAAGGTCTGTGGTCCAATCTACGCTTTACATGCTACCATTTTGGTTACCCACTTACAATACAGTAATTGTGCCAGCATCGTTCCCCCTTCAGTGTATTTGGAGCACAGCAGTAATTAACTGTGTTTGAGCCATGCTGCAGTCTTGGGGTGAAACCCTGGCCTCACTGAAGTCCATGGCAAAACTCCCTTTGATTTTAATGGAGCCAGGGTTTCACCCTTGGATTTTAGCAGGGCTGTAGACATAGTTCAGGACACAGGTGACTCCTGGCTTAGCCTTGCCTGCACTATAAGATCAGACAGTATTGTACCGGTGCCCCTTACATAGTTGCTGGCACTGTGTCAATGGGACCTAACTGAAAAGTGCTTTATTCTGCCTCTTGAGCATTCAGACCCATTCGCTGGCTGTGGCATTTCCTAATGTCAGGGGTATTTGGGATGCCTCACTGGAACTGGTTTTTGTATTTTATGTAGCTTTGGCATCAGCGAAGGACATAAGCTCTTAACTGGCGCACAGCCAGCAGTAGGCAGTGCCCTGGCAGTGCTGACCTCTCGTTCCTAAAGTTGTATGGTCAGGACAAGCATGGCAGCGTGCAGCAGCCGTGAATGTGGTGCGAGGCACATTTGTGGTCCAGGTCCTAACCGATGAGTACATAACATAAGAACATAAGTACAGCCGTATTGGGTCAGACCAGAGGTCCATCTAGCGCAGTATCCTGTCTACCGACAGTGGCCAATGCCAGATGCCCCAGAGGGAGTGAACCTAACAGGTAATAATCAAATGATCTCTCTCCTGCCACCCATGTCCACCTTCTGACAAACAGAGTCTAGGGACACCATTCCTTACCCATCCTGGCTAATAGCCATTAATGGACTTAACTTCCATGAATTTAAAGTAGAGTTTAAAGTGTCTGAAGAGGAGTTGGATGTGACAATGCCCCCTCTGGGATCCACATAGACTTGTGCTGAAATGGAGAGGGAGCAGCAACAAGAGACACGGCCTTTAACCCCAGCGCTCTTACTTTGGCTACTTCTCAGTAACAATATTCTGCCCTATTTCTCTCAGGAAGAAATTTCCAAGTATGATAGGATCTGTGAAGAGGCCCATGCCAGATCCAAGGATGAAAAAATCCTGCACATCAAGCACTGGCTGGATTCCCCTTGGCCTGGTAAGTAACTAGCAGCTTCCCTGACAAATGGCCACAATTCAGGAACCACTTCTGCCTCCAGTGGATTAGACCTTCGACTTCTGGCGCAGATAGGAGCTGTGTGTCTCCAAGGACGTGTAATGAAGAGAGTGGGAAATACACCACTCCAGCCTGGTGAAGAAAATGCACCCATTGGGAAAGCATGGGGGACTGACAGAGGTGGAGCAGCTCAGGGTTTGCTCTGCATCCCAAATCCTCTTCCACATCAGAGAGTACAGAAGGGCCTGTAACATAGTCATCAAATGCTCTTACTACAGAGCCAGCCTGGCCTTCACCAGGTCACGGATGATCTCTCCTTCTTCCCCAGGTTTCTTCACTCTCGAGGGCCAGCCTCGGAGCATGACCTGTCCCTCTACTGGTCTGAATGAAGAAGACTTGGCCCATATAGGCAAGGTGGCCAGCTCAGTGCCTGTTGAGGATTTCACAATTCATGGAGGTACAAATGTGCTGGAGTAGATGCCCCTGGCACCCTAGTCTCTAGGGGTTTATTCTTTGTAGAGCTGGATGCTTTACGGGGTAGAGGATATGGTTAATGCTGTGAGTGAGAGTTGTTCCACCACGATCTACAGGGAGTCATGGTCTCTGGTGCTGTAGACTGAGGCCATAGGCCAGCCTGGGGAGTGGGAGGGAGAAGATCTGCTAGAATCTCTATTCTCAATTAACTATTGGAACAAGCTACTAAAGGAAATGGTGGGTTCTCCCTCTCTTGGTGTCTTCAGACAGACTGGCTGCCTTTCTGGAGATGCTTTAGTCATACACAAGTTGTTGGGCCAGTCAAGGGGTAACTGGATGAAATTCCATGGCCTGTGTGCTGTACAGCAGTGGTTCTCAAACTAGAGCTGCCGCTTGTTCAGGGAAAGCTCCTGGCGGGCTGGGCCGGTTTGTTTACCTGCCGCGTCAGCAGGTTCGGCCGATCACGGCTCCCACTGTCGGCGGTTCGCTGCTCCAGGCCAATGGGGGCTGCAGGAAGCGGCATGGGCCAAGGGACGTGCTGGCCACCCTTCCTGCAGCCCCCATTGGCCTGGAGTGGCGAACTGCGGCCAGTGGGAGCCGCGATCGGCCAAACCTGCGGACACGGCAGGTAAACAAACCGGCCCGGCCCACCAGGGGCTTTCCTGGAACAAGCGGCGGCCCTAGTTTGAGAACCACTGCTGTACAGGACTAGATGATCTAATGTCTCTTCTGATCCCCAAATCTGAGTGAGTGGCGACTTCCATGTGGTGGTTCAGGCCCAAAGTATGATGGTTGGGATGGGGATGAGTGCTAATGAGACTTCTGAAGGTGTTTATCTGTCCCCCATCACTAGTATCTGAGATGCTTCCCATCTTCAATGTGTTTATCCTCTCATACCTCTGGGGGGCAAGCAGGGCTGATATCGCCATTGTTCAGAGGGGGAACTGAGGCCCAGAGAGGCTAAGGGACTAGCTCAGGTCACGCAGGCAGCCTGTGGCAGAGCAGGGACTTGAACCCAGTGTCCCATCCTTCCTCTCAAAAAAAAAAAAAAAAAAAAAAAAATCCTTATGGCAGTGCCCAAAGTCTCTCCAGCTGGTACTTACAGAGATTGCCAGACTGAATCTTTGAATCTTGCTAAGTTCTTGACCTTTAGAGCTTCTTGTGAGTTCCACAGTCTGGTGACATGAATCTAGACCCCTCATCCCCAGTACCTTCTGGCCGTGGGCCTGGCAATGCCCATGCTTTTGACCCAGCACTCAGAAACTGTTCTCTCCACTACCACTTGGACTCCTCTGAGGTTAGAGTTCAGGTCTCCTCTCCTGGGCAGTGATGTCTGGCAGTGAGTGCTCCTAATGCAGGTGAAGTTGGCTCAGTGAAAAGCAAGTTAGTTAAAGAAAACAGAGAATGGCCAGCAACTCCAGTTGTTTTTCAGAGCTGGTCTCCTCTGCTCCTTACCTGTATGTGCTTTACGCTGTGCTAGGCTGGAACAGTTCACCTCCCTTTTGTCCCTTTATGTCCAGAGCATCTGCGTGTCAGGGAATCCAGACTGCCGATAGATGGGTTGATAGCATGAGCCGTCTTGACCCAGCCTAAGGCTGCTTGCTTAGTACGTCACTGCAGTTCCTCCCCAACAGGCTGCAAACTGTTTTTTTTCTCTGCAGGTTTGAGCCGGATTCTGAAAACCCGTGGGAAGTTGGTTAAGAACAGGACAGTCGACTGGGCCTTGGCAGAGTATATGGCATTTGGCTCCCTCCTCAAAGAGGGAATCCACATCCGACTGAGCGGCCAGGATGTCGAGAGGGGGACATTCAGGTAAAGCCGGCAGTTTCCCCCAGTAAAAGGTGATTCCAGCCCTCCTCAAGAGGCTACTGAGTGGGGAGTAGAAGACACCAGCCTTAGGTTGCCTGCTGTGCTGGAGCTCTGCTGAAAGGCAAGGGGGGAGCCCAAATTGGGGGTGGAGGGGTCTCTTTCACAGCACTTTATGGTGTTAGTATGGGCAGCTCCTAGATATGATCGTAACCTGGCTTCATTGCATTCTGCAGTTGCAAGCCAAGCCTCTCAACAGAGCAGCGTGAGCCAGGTGGCCACTTGCATGCAGGCACTTGCTCTGACCCACTGGCTAGGGTAACACTTGAGTAACATTACTGCTGGCCGTTGTTTCCTCCCACAGCCATCGTCACCATGTACTGCATGACCAGAACGTAGACAAGAGGACCTGTATCCCCATGAATCACCTCTGGCCAAACCAGGCTCCTTACACTGTCTGCAACAGCTCCCTGTCGGAATACGGAGTCCTAGGTTAGTGTCGCTGGGCAGTCTCCGCCTGGCTCGCGACGGCCACAGGGCTAGTTAGTGCTGGGTTGTCTGTGCCAGGTGCTGGTGGATATGGCTTCTTCACTCTTCCTCTCTCTTCTCTGCAGGTTTCGAACTGGGCTTTGCTATGGCCAGTCCCAATGCCTTAGTCCTGTGGGAGGCCCAGTTCGGTGACTTCCACAACACTGCTCAGTGCATCATTGACCAGTTCATCTGCCCTGGCCAGGCCAAGTGGGTGAGACAGAATGGCATCGTGCTGCTGCTGCCCCATGGCATGGAGGGCATGGTAAGGATGCACTCGCTTCCCATCTTTCTGGGCAGCACTGACAGCTCAATGCCACAGTTCCCGTAGCACCCCAGGACACTTCCCCAGGCCAAACACTGCACAAACCAGGTCTCTGTGCGACCAGTCACCTGGGAGCATTGGGGTAGTCCTGCAATTCGGAGAACGCCCACCTCTTTGCCTGTGTCACCCGGCCTGCACCAGCCCATGTCACTGCTTCCCATACAGCTGTGTGTTAACAGCCTGCAGAGGGGCCTGGACACCATGTGGTTGGGAGCAGTGCCAGCCCCTCTACAGGTTAGAGTGTACCGCTGAATGGAAGAGGATTGGGAGCAACAGGGCTTGGCACAGGGGCTTGTTGGGGCCAGGGGAGTGGAGTCTAAAGTTCAGTACTAAGGGGCGGCTGCAGCTGTTGGACCTACTTCTTAGTAAAAATCAAAACTTTTAAACCAGAGTGAAATCCTGTTGGGCAGCACGTACCAAGGTCCTCCTCAAACAGTGACTAGCATGAGCTGGCTCTGTGGCCAGCCGCTCTACGAGGCATGGAGAGCTCTCCTAAAGAAGGAAACTCATGTGTGGTTCGCTTCACCTCTTGTTGATTTTGCCCGCAGGGTCCTGAGCACTCGTCAGCCAGGCCAGAGCGATTCTTGCAGATGTGCAATGATGATCCAGATGTCTTCCCCGTAAGTGTCTGGCTGTGCTAAACTCACTCTCTTCCCCTTTGGGGCCTTTCCCATCTCTCCCCTCCTGCATCTTGGAGCACTTGCTCTGTCCCTGACTCTGATCACTACACAGCAAAGGCTTCCAGAAACAGCTTTGGGGGATTTTGCGGATGGGCTGGTAACACATGGAACAATTTTACAGGACTCCTGGATTCTGGGCAGCAGGCCAGGGGGAGCAGGATATAGGAAGCAGTGCTGTGCTGGTGACTCACATTTAATGACTCCTGGGCTTCCTCTGCCCCCAGAGGCCGGAAGACTTAGGTTGGGTTATCGAGGGGGACTCGGAAATGTCCGCTGCTGTGTTAGCACAGAATGAGCAGAGCTCTAGTTAGTGTGCTAATGTGGGGCAGTAAAGGCTGGCTGTAACCCAAGCAAGGCCAGTGCATGGAACTCTGTTTCCATGGCTTCTGCTCTTTCCTCCTTGGCTTTCCCCAAAAGCTGTCATCAGAGTCACACCCATCGCTCTCGGGCCCATTTGCTCATTTTTTATTAGGGAGCGATTTCCCGGTTCCATAGCCGGGGGGTTTATCGGAGTATTTCAAAGTGCGCTCCAAAGCCCTGTGCAAACATGGCAGCTCTCCTGCTCTCAGCCTGTACTGTCTGCATAGCTGGCCCATGCATGTAGGGAGGCAGTCCCTTTTTGGGTTAGGGACACGGAGGCACTAAGAGGCCGGGATAGGCTGAAAACCACCTGAGAGGATAGTGTAAAAGGGAAAGCAGAAAGTTACACTGGCCCAGAATTTGCTGTGTTCATTCCTGAGCAGTGTCCTAAAAGCTCTGCTAGGCAGAGAAAGCAATGGACAGTATAGAGCCGGGACTCCAGTGGCTTTGAGATACCTGCTGCTAAAATCCTACCTCAGTTGAAATGGAAAAACTAAAGTGAAGCACTTAACTAAACTTGACTTTTAAGAGCCAAGTTCTCCCAATTTGCCTGGACTAGAAACACTCTAGGTTGAGCTTGCAGGTTAGGGCCGCTGCATTCAGCTAACCACTGGTCCTGGGCTAGTGATGAGCAAGAGAAACTCCTGGCCCTCATGTTGGGGTACTCCAGTTGACTCACATGGCCTCTCTCTGTTCATACTGGAGCTGCCGGCAGATGTAAATGCAGGATGTTAATGTGGGACATTCACGATTTTGTCTAAACCGTTTCTACTTCTCATGTGCTGTAGAAACTCGATGACTTTGACGTTCGCCAGCTGTACGACTGCAACTGGATTGTTGTAAACTGCTCCACTCCAGCGAACTTCTTCCACGTCCTGCGGAGGCAGATACACCTCCCGTTCCGGAAACCGGTCAGTGAGCTCTAGACACTGCACTGGTACGGACCCGGCCACGCACCATTGTCTTGTAGCTCAAGTGCTAGGTTAAAGCCAATGCTTGGCAGGTGGGGCATGGGTGCTGGTGCCAGGAGGGCTTAAGGACCTGGATTTGAAGCTAACTTCTCGAGTGCTCCAGTAGGGCTAGTCAAATTTTCCACCAAAACGGTTGAAAGTTAAGATTTTGACCGAACAAAATTTTTTGCAAAATGTGTTTGCTTTCCATGCAAAAAAACAAAATTTTTGTCCAAAAATAAAACAAACAAAACTGAGCACCCTAAAACTAAAATACTTCAATTCTGGAATGCTGCCGCGGTGCATTGTGGGTGCTTCATGTTCTATGAGCTGGGTTCCCCAGCCAGACTACATTTCCCGTGATGCACTACAGCCTCGTGACTGCCATAGAGCATAGCTTCCTCTCACCAATAGCGGTGACTGTCATGCATCGTGGGAGATGTAGTCCAACCCGGGAGCCCAGCCTATAGAGAACTACTACTCCCATGGGGCACCACGGTGGCATTTCAGGATTGAAATAATTTGCCCAAAACTCTCAGTTGTCTGACCTGCTCTGTGCTCTACCCTTTACCTGGTTAATGGATAGGTACTAACAACCCTTGGTAAAGGTCTATTGCCTGATAAGAGACACCAGTATTAAGTATCAGAGGGGTAGCCGTGTTAGTCTGGAGCTGTAAAAAGCGACAGAGTCCTGTGGCACGTTATAGACTAACAGACGTATTGGAGCATAAGCTTTCGTGGGTGAATACCCACTTCGTCAGACGCATGTATCTGACGCATGTATATGCATCTGAGGAAGTGGGTATTCACCCACGAAAGCTTATGCTCCAATACGTCTGTTAGTCTATAAGGTGCCATAGGACTCTTTGTTGCTTTTTACCAGTATGGGGGTAAAGTCCTGTTAAAGGCTGGGCAGTCTGTGCCTGCTGATCTGTGCTGTGGTCACTGTTACAGGTGAGCTGTACGTTACCGAGCTCACTGGGGCCCTGTGACTGGCACTTATTAAATAACCCTGTCTGCCAAGGTTCAGTTGAGCTCTACCCAGACGGGAAACGCCTGTCCTTCTATCTGGGCAGCGGCATTTGTGAGCTGCCTGCACGTTATTCCATAACAAAAGGGCTAGAGGAGAAAGTAACGCTGAGTGCTGTGCAAAGAAAGCAACCCGCAACCAGACCTGCCGACAGCGCCAGAGTTCTGCACACCACTTCACATTGCCCTGCCCCAGAGCAGCCTTTGGCTTCAGTCTTTCTCTCTGGCCGGCATGGGAGAATCGAGACGTTCCTGTGATTCCTGCCTGGGTTAAATGTACAGTTCATCAATGGCACTTGAATTAGGGGGCTGGGCAGGGGCCAGGCCGGAACTAGCTGACCAAAGACGGGTGTGGAGGGAGGGTCTGTGCTCTGGCTCTCGTAGTGATGATCCAGTCTGCAATGTGCAGCTTGTGTGCCAGAAAGGCTATTTCCAGCCCCTTCTGATTGCCTTGCCTTGATCTTCCAGCTGATCATCTTCACTCCAAAGTCGCTGCTGCGCCACCCCGAAGCCCGCTCCAGCTTTGATGATATGTTGCCAGGTATGAAGGGTGTTGCCAGTGTCCAAGGGTGCAAGTGAACCGGAGAGATGCAGAGCGGGGTTCATACCACAAGAGGGCAGTGTCTGTCTTCTCTTTCATAGAATCATAGAGTATCAGGCTTGGAAGGGACCTCAGGAGGTCATCTAGTCCAACCCCCTGCTCGAAGCAGGACCAATCCCCAACTAAATCATCCCAACCAGGGCTTTGTCAAGCCTGACCTTAAAAATCTCTAAGGAAGGAGATTCCACCACCTCCCTAGGGAACCCATTTCAGTGCTTCACCACCCTCCTAGTGAAAAAGTTTTTCCTAATATCCAACCTAAACCTCCCACACTGCAACGTGAGACCATTACTCCTTGTTCTGTTATCTGCTACCACTGAGAACAGTCTAGATCCATCCTCTTTGGAACCCCCTTTCAGGTAGTTGAAAGCAGCTATCAAATCCCCCCTCATTCTTCTCTTCTGCAGACTAAACAATCCCAGTTCCCTCAGCCTCTCCTCATAAGTTATGTGCTCCAGCCCCCTAATCATTTTTGTTGCCCTCCGCTGGACTCTTTCCAATTTTTCCACATCCTTCTTGTAGTGTGGGGCCTAAAACTGGACACAGTACTCCAGATGAGGCCTCACTAATGCCGAATAGAGGGGAATGATCACGTCTCTCAATCTGCTGGCAGTGCCCCTACTTATACAGCCCAAAATGCTGTTAGCCTTCTTGGCAACAAGAGCACACTGTTGACTCATATCCAGCTTCTTGTCCCCTAGGTCCTTTTCTGCAGAACTGCTGCCTAGCCACTCGGTCCCTAGCCTGTAGCAGTGCATGGGAGACTTCCGTCCTAAGTGCAGGACTCTGCACTTGTCCTTGTCTTTACAGGACCCCGCCCTGTTCCCAGGTGTCTCTGGATTCTGGCTCCTGTCCACATGTATGACAGTCCAGAACTGCACCAGGATGGTGTGTGCTTCAGACTGTTTCCCCCGTCTCTCTCCCTGCACAGCCCCAGCTCAGTGGGGCCCTGATCTCAGTGGGGTCTCTAGGCCTTAATCATCTCTGAGCTAGCCAGGTCCTTCTGCAGGCATAGCCAATTCCACAGGGTCCAGGCCTGTAGCTGGCCCCCGTTAGCATTCTCCCTCCCACCATGTGTGGCCCCTGGGATGTTGAGGCATGTCCCCCACAGTTGTCTGTTCTCTGCTACAGGCACTAACTTCCTGCGCGTAATCCCTGAGAGCGGCCCTGCAGCCCAGAACCCCGACAACGTCAAGAGGGTGCTCTTCTGCACCGGCAAAGTGTATTACGAGCTCACCCGTGAGCGCAAGACCCGGGACATGGAGCCAGACGTGGCCATCACCAGGGTGGAGCAGGTGAGCGTGTCTGTACCCCAGGGGGCTCCACATAGGCCGGGGCCAATAGTCAGTCCCATTGCTGGCTTGCCCCACGTCCCCAGGAGCCATGAGGAGTTTAATCCACAACATGTCTGCTGTGGCTCAGACACAAAGCGCTCTGTCCCTCATCCCACTCCCACTGCTTAACGTCCCAGCCCAGCCTCAGGGTGGAGAGCAGGCAGAAATACGCCATCACCACACCTGAGAAGGGATGGACGGAGGGCCCAGCTCGATCCTGTGTCTTCAGTCTGAGTCCAGGAGACGCTGCGCAGCACCCCTGGGTGGGCAGCGAGGGCAGAGCTGGGGTATCTGGGCAGGTTTGCAGGGAAGAGCCCGTTGGTGGCGGGAGTGGTGCTGGCCAGCCCAGCGGGCACCCCACCATACAATCTCCCAGGCCTGGAAGGGTCGTTCAGGCTCCCGCTAGGCGACCCCAGACCCTCTAAGTGTGTAATGTCAGAGCCGTGTGGGATTGGGAGATGCTGCTGAGGCAGCACAGGCTGAACAGTGAGCATGGAGGCTGGATGGTCCACTGCACAGCCCACCTGCAGCTGCCTGCGCCCCGCCTCCGCTGCTTGCTCCCCCAGGCTTGTGTGCCCCGGTGGAACTGAGCCCTCCCCGTTCCCCTGCAGCTGTCCCCGTTCCCCTTCGACCTCCTCCAGAGGGAAGCACTGAAGTATCCTAACGCCGAGCTGGTCTGGTGCCAGGAGGAGCACAAGAACCAGGGCTACTACGACTATGTGAAACCCCGGCTCCGCACGACCATCGACCGCGCCAAGCCCGTATGGTAAGGGCCACCCCTCTGCAGCGTGACGGGCTAGTGCCACGGGTGGCAGCCACACCTTGTCCTGCTCTCGGGACCTCCCCACGGATGGGCAGTGTGGTGCCATGGGTGGTACATCTGAGGCCACCAGCTCCCCAGTGGATTTCAGTATCATGTGGGAGCGGGGATGGAGATCTCTCAGTGGCACTGGGGGTAGGTAGTGTGGGCTGGGGAGGGGGGTCTCTTGGATGGGTGTGACAGAGTCACAGGCCCGATGCTCTGGAACTGCTCTGTATGAAGCCAGCCAGGACTCTGGGGTGGCGTGACTCCCCTCAGGACATGCTGTCCAGGGCAAAAAGCCTCCTCAGCTACGGCGTCCCTGGGACTGACCTCGGAGCTTTCAGCATCCCTGTTCATATCATACACTTCCCTTTGGCAGGTCCACCTGAACGGGACCTCTGGGGAAGCCAGAGGGCCCTACACCCCCACTCTGCAGTCAGCTGTGACTCTCAGCCAGCGTGTAACACAGGTTTATTAGTCAGCAGGAACACCGCGTAGAACAGATCCTGTTAGCACAGAAATCAGTGACTTTCAGCCAATTCCATCTTGGGGTGGGGGGACCCCAGGCTAGACACCCTGGACTCCCCCCTCAGAGTCCCAAACAGGAGATGGCCCAGCTTCCAGTGACCCGACCTCTGACACGCCCGTTCCCCCTCCGCCTGGTCTTTGTCCCCCTTCCGGGACAAAGTGTCACCTGGTCTCATCCCCCCTCCTGAGTCTCAGGTTATGAAAGGCATCGGCCATCACTTGTGTGCAGGCAGCTGGAACCTCCTCACCTGCCCCCTAGGGTCCCAGCAAAAGTCACACACCCCTATTCCCACCATCTAGGCATTGGTGCAATACACACGGAAACTGAGGCACACACAGCATTCATGCAAAACAGTAAGACTCACGTAGGCTCACGTACAACATAATAAGGTCACAGTGGGCATGTTGATCTCGTTGATCTCTCCACAAGATGGTAACTGGGTGAGGGACAAGAGCTTGATACAGGGTCTGTGCTGTGGCTAACAGCCAAGTGGGGGATGCTGCAGGCAGCAGGGGCTGGTCCCTGGTTGGTGAGCGTTGGGCTTTGGGGTCTGCACATGATACAGCATTTCTTTCTAGGCTAGGTGGCTAGATCTTGGCAGCCTCTGGCCCTCTCTTCCATCCAGCTTTCCTGTTGCTTGACCAGGCCTGTATGTAGCCATCCCAGACCTGAGTCCAGCGTAACGTCCCGTCCCTGTGCTGGCCCTCATCTGAGCTGCTGCTTCTCCCTCCCTTGCCATAGGTACGCCGGCCGCGACCCAGCTGCTGCACCAGCCACTGGCAACAAGAAGACCCACCTGACTGAGCTCCAGCGCCTCCTGGACACCGCCTTCAACCTGGACGCCTACAAGGCCTTCTCCTAGACCCCACGCAGCTGCTGCAGCATGCTGTCTGTCTCTTGCTCACCTCCTGTCTCCGTACTTAACTACAGACCTTGTAAACTAAATGCCCACGCCTGGAGTCCTTGTTCATCACTCTGGCTTATTGCCTTTCACTGAAATACCTCTGCAGGATGCTTGGGTTTTAACTCCCCCCCTTGCCCTGTCCTTGAGGGGCTGCAGTCTCTGTGCCCTCCTGAGTGGCCAACTCCATCCCAACACTACCCCAAAAGCCCCAAGCGCCAGCCAGTTCAGGAGGTCCGGCGATCAGCCTCTGCTAGCTTCTGTCATTAGCCCACCCCCTCCCTGCGGGGTTGCCATGCTGCCTTGTATCTGGCTCAGGGGAGCAGCTGGGGTTGGCAGAGCCAGGAGGAGGGACATTGCAAGCACACCTCTCCCCGGCAGAGGAAAGCTGCCAGCAGCAGGGGATGCAGTTAGGTTCTCCATAAGAAGGAGACTGTTCCTTTTTCCTTCTGCCTGTGGCGGTTCTTTCCCAAAGATCAGAGCCCCTGTGGCTAACATCCTCAATCGCTCCTGGCCGGCTGTGCTTGGGTCGTAGCCTCGGGCCCCTGGTGCACTGTAGCCCGCTCAGGTGGATTAAGATTCAGTGGGGCCCTAGGCACAAAGAACACTTGGATCCCTCACGCTTTCCCCTGGCCTGGCCCGAAGCCGGGCCATGGTAAGAGCTGCCCAGGGAGTCTTGTCTGCTGTGGGGAGCCCTGGACCCTCCCCCTGCCCTGGGCAGCATGCCCAGGGGGACAGGCCAGGAGTTGCTTTGGGGGCTGCCAGGGCAGGTGGAGGGGCCGGGGCTCCCCAAGAACTGCCCAGGGAGCCTGGGCTGCCGTACCACAGCCTATGGTGAGCATACGTCCCGTTTTGGCCAGGACAGTCCCCTTTTTAAGCCCTGAACCAGACATCCTGACAAATGCCCAGTTTTGCCAAAAAGGGCCTCGGGGTGGGGTGGGGGGGTGAGTGGCAAAGTTTTGGTGGGGACCCCGGGCATGATCTCGTGGGCCTGTGTGTTAATCTGCCATGGAGCCCATTCCCAGCTGTGTAACCCCAGATCCCTGCCACCTTGCTAACAAACCCCTCATGCCCCTCCTGCATGTCCACCCCGCAGCTGCTGTTAAAGGAACCCAGTGTTGGATTTTCAAACTGGGCCTTGGCTGAATCACGGGCACTCGCTGCTTGGCTGAGCCCGGCAGGGCTGTCTCTAGTGCGGGGACAGGGAAACACTAGACAGGGATGTTGGTGTGTGCTCTACTGTGCTCCGCTGAAGTGGGGAGCCCGGGGCTCGTGGCACAGTGCCTCTGAAAAGGGTTGGCAGATTCCTCATGGCACTCCCTGCTAAGGCCCATCTCTTCCCCAGAAGGAAGGGGCCACTTGACTTTAAACGGCTTCCCTACCACCAACCATTAATTTCTAGGGTTGCATGGAGTCTGGGGCTGTTTCTAAACACTGCAGCAAGGGGGCTGTGGGAGCTGGAAGAGCCAGGGGCGGGCCAGCATGGACCTCTGCAGAGCTCTGCTTACAGCGTAGGAGGGTCCCTCGAATCTCTCCCTTCTGCCCTCGCCCTCTTCTCTCTGCACCCCCAAGGGGCAGTCCCAGCTGCATGCCTGCTGCCCTCCAGGCCTCGCTGCTGGAGCCCCTCATCCCTAGTACAGGGACCCCCTTAGCCTGACAGCCTCAGCCCCGGCTGGGGCAGCGCAAGTCCATGGCCCAGCCCCAGTGCGGCCAAGTGCAGCGCTCTGCATCTCTTTGAACAGCCAGCATCTGCCAAACCTGCTTGGGTGGGGAACACCCTGAGCCAAGGGCCCTTCCTCTACTGCTCAGCCCCAAGGGGCTCTGGGTCATTTCCATGAGATGCACCCTGCTCCCAACTGATATGGGTGAGACACCAGCACCCCTCTGTCCTCCGTGTGAGCAGAGATGCTAGCCTGGTGCCTTCCTGAGCTCCCAGCACCTGCCCTCTCCAAGCCCCTCTCTGGGGACCCCATTCACTCCCCTCCCAGCACCGCGTGAGGCTTTCACTCAGCGCTCTGAGCCCCGCCTGAGGATGCATCTGGCATTTAGAAGGACAGTGCTCTTGAGACTCATTCCCCTGGAAGCCCAGCCCTGGGGAACCATCCCTTCCTGGGCCGTCCAGCACCCATGGCTGCCCCCTTGTCAGTCAGGTCTCTCCCCTGAGCTCTTCAGACTGCTCTGTGCATGTGCTCACTTGTCCCTGTGTTGGAGAATTCCCCCCCCCCCCACTCCCCCCGGATTGCTGCAGCTTTTCCCTCATTTCCACAGGAGCCCCACTGCTTTGCCTTTTGCCTCAGTTCCCCTCCCCCGGAGCACTGCATCACATTGTGTGTGCTTGCTGCTGGCCGCTAGGATCCTGGCTGCAGCTTGGGAATAAAAACTTCTAGCCAGGGGGCTGGGCCCAGCCTCTTCCCACCGCCGTGTGGCCAGGACCTGGGCTGCAGGCCCCATCCTGGCTTCTCGCCCGTGGCACTGAAACATCCAACGTCTCTTAAGGGTGAAGGCTGCTCCCAGAGCTCTGATCTCGCTGGGCCAAAGCCAGCCGGAGTAGAGCGATGCAAGCCATGTTGCCCCTGGGCATTGCTTTGCCACCCCCTCACACTCTCAGACTGACTTATTTTCGTTTTAAAGAAAAAAGAACTAAGCCCTCAGCTTGTCTCTGGCTTCCCCAATAAAAGCTGAGGCTCCTCTCATTCCTCATGGTGCCCATTACTGGGCCCTTCACCCATCTGGGCCCCATCAAATGGGCCGGCCAGCACCCAGGAACCAGGCCTGTACAGTGTCCCGGGGCTCACCACGCCTGCCTCTGCCTTCTCCCTGGGGGAAGCTCAGATCCTGCACTGCCTGTTCCCAGCTTACGCAATCTAGCCTCCCTGCAAGAGGGCTGGAGTCCCAGCTTGGCTAATACCTACCTCTGCCCAGGATGGGGATCCCTTGGCCTGAGCCTAGCACCCCTTAGAGCAGCCGTGTGCTCCCCAGGCCCAGGAACTGTCCTGTGCTAGAGGCAGCAATTGGCCTTTGGCCTCTCTTCCCTGGGGAGACCTGGCTCCATAGGTCGAGCAGCAGTGATACAGCTCCACGGCTGGTTCTAGCAAAGCTCCCCCTACTGCCTGGGGCCCTGGGGCTGCATGGAGAAAGCTGGGCCTGGGTTACAGCCAGGGGGCACCGGTCACGCAAGCTGCATCCACTAGGTGTCCCTCATGTGCTACAGAGGCAGGTGAGTGGGGCAACCTTGCCCCATGTCAGGGGGTGGGGTATGTCAGGCAACGGGGATTCAGGGTGTGGCTCCTTCCCCTGGGCCCAGAAATCTCAGGAGCCAAGGGCCTTTCCCCTTCCCAGCACCTGGCCAGGAGCAGGGCTGCTCATCTGCTATTCCAGCACAGCATCCCCCAGCGCCACAGCCCACTGCTGTGGTCAGTCCTGGGGCTTAGAGGGAGCGTGCCCCCTGCTGAGCTCTGCCCTGCGGATGGCACAGCACCCCACCACGGCATTGGGGTCAGCAGGGGCTATGGGGAGTGCACCCCCTGCTGAGCTCCCCACCCTGCTCCCTGCAGCACAGCGCCCCCTACTACTGTGCTGGGGTCAGTAGCCCCCTCCTCTTCCTTGGCCTCCCGCCCAAGCACTGACAAGGTTGGTGCCTGTCAGGGCTGTGAGTGGATGGTAACCCTGTGTGAACCCAACCGTCCACCCCTGTGCATCCCCAAGGGGGGGGGCAGCAATGCACATGCAGCCTTTGCCCCTGGGCACAGAGGGCTCTGCCCACGGCTGGGTGCTGCTCCCAGCCAAGCCAGCACCTTAGTTCAGCTCGGGGCCTGGCTGCCTGGATCACAGCTAGGATTTCATCCTAGGTGGGCGCCTCAGGGGGGCCCGAGCCTGCAAACTGCTGCCCTGCCCCCCCCCCTTCTGTGTCAGCCTCTTGTCTCCCTGCTGTGCAGCGGGGGGTCTCCTGGCCCCAAGCATGCCTGTGCTCCAGCCAGGTGGCACTTCCCCAGGGGTGCCAGCACCAGTGTGTGTGAGGGGTCCCCTCGGAGCCCCATTCACAGCGGCTCTGAGCGTGTTGCAGCCCCGGTCTCTTGCTAGAGACTGGAACTGCCGCTGGCTCGTGCCCTAGTGTCGGTGGAGATGGCAGGGCTCTCACACTCGTGAGAAGCAGAGTTCCCATTGGCTTCACATGCCCCCTCGGCCTCCTCCAGGGAAATGTGACCAGACCCCTGACGGGGGATACCTGGGCACCACCTGGTTTAGGGCCATGTCTGCCTCATCAGAACTAGGGTTCACCCCCGGGCCTTGCTGGCTAGGCAGCCCCCTCTGCTCTCAAACTGGCTGGAGCTAGGGTTCCAGGCTGGGAACAGAGTTTGGCATCCCGTTCCCCAGCAGCAGGGACAGTCGCCTTTGACAAAGGCAGCGTGTTAGATGAGTGGGGCAAGGAGGGACCCAGCAGCTATCTGCACAGCTCCAGTGTCAATTATTCCATCCTCAGGGCCACTACATGGTGGAAGAGCATCGGCAAAGGAGCCACAGGCCCAGGGTGGCAGAGCCCAGGAACCATCTTACACCCAAAGACAGTAGAAGGGGGCACCTGGCTGGCAAGAGGCAGGGCTGTGGGTAGTGCCTGAGGGAGCATGGTGCAGGAGGGCTGAGCACTGGCCTTGCTCAGAGGAAATGTCTGTTCTCTGGCTGTCCCCCCCAACAGAGACATTTCTGTACTTCCCACAAATGCCAGGGGCTTGGTGTAATCGGCCATTTCTGTTCAGCCAAGGCCTAGGGCTAGAATGGCTGCACATTGGGATGCAGCGGGGTTGGCAGAACTGTGGGGAGATGGATGCAGGGCTGTGTTAGCAGGGGCTGTGTTAGCGGGTCAGGATTGAGGGGCATTGGCAGAGCTGGGGTAGGGTGACCAGATGTCCCGATTTTATAGGGACAGTCCCAATATTTGGGAATTTTTCTTATATAGGCACCTATTACCCCCCACCACCTGTCCCAATTTTTCACACTTTATATCTGGTCACCTTAAGCTGGGGTGGGGGAGCCCAGCGCTGGGATAGCAGGGGAAGTGCAGTTCAGGAC